GTGACTCGTTCGCTGTTTCCCTTCGAGTAGTTCCGATTACTGACTGACTGCGTGCCATCTCTGCAACGCTTTTGTAGTCGATACGACATCCCTAGAATCGTCGAGAACATTCCTCACAAGTCGAGTATTTTCGATGTGTGTGTTTCTGCTATCTTAAAATAGATGGCGTTGTACTTCTCGAGCGTTCTAAACGTTACTAGATCCTTTGATATTCGTTTCGGCTATTCGGCGATAGATGGCGTTACTCTTACCGGCGTAACATTATTAAATAACCTACTCGTTGTATTATGGTTTGATTGTACTAGCAATGCCTACGTCCATACTTACATTCAACAACCGTAAACAAATTACCATTAAGGCAATTTAAAAAATACAAGCTCTCTCCTGACGCACCCTTTGACTGAAGTGATTTTCGAACAAAAAGCCCAATATAGTTTAAATTAATTAATTCCTTGTCACCAACCATTAATTGGATGCAGGCAGGAGAATTGCTTAACGTCGGCCAGCGCGGGTCCGATTTGACTGGCAATTATACCAGACTACCGGAACTGGCGCCCCCGGACATACAGGGAAATGGATGTGAGAACGAACAGAAAAAACTATAGAGACGAATGCGAATTAAAAGATGGCGAAATAAAAATATGCGAAGTGCTTTTCAGGATATTATCAAAATAACTCTTCTACTCATATCTGTTCATAAAATATTTATAACTATTAATATCATGCATCCCACGCTTTATTTACAATAAAATCATTTTTTCTTACACTATTTTTAGTTCAATTTTTTTAAAATTCATTTTCAATTTTTTAGTTGGACTTTCTATAAAAGCGTATTTTTTTGTTTTTTTAAGCTATTATTTATTTTTTAGTTGAATTTCAATTTATTCAATTATTATTTTTCAATTTCAAAAATTTCATCTGAATCAGTCGGTAACTTATCCGAGAAATAGGTGATCGGCGCGCATGGTAGTTTCCCTTCTTGGTCTTGACACAGACACTCTGGGTCTCAGGAAAACAATAAATCGCTAATGCTGATTATCCTAGTGAGAATCGGTCCTTAATAAAAGTATGCCAAATCTCGAGTTCATCTGGCGTTTTGAAGGGAGTCAAAATCATGTTCAAGGATTCCGTTACATACTAACATACGTATGAAGCTATGACATGCCCTTCTTCAAACGAGGCTTGCGGAGAGTACTTAATGGTAGGCAGCGGCTTGGCTTTGCCTCTGGCATTGCTGACGTCCATAAGCGACGGTGACCACTTACCCTCAGGTGGGCCGTATGCTCGTCTGCCTACAAAGGCAATAAACAAAAAAAAAAGCTACTAAAACTGTATTAAAAATAAAATCTTACCGCACCTTGTTCTCGTTCCGATTTGCACTATATCTTATGAGTACGTATTGTTTAAAGGCGATTCCATTTTCATCTTGCCGCATACACAATCCAAACATATAGTAATAAAGCCAATGCATAGACGAAATTTTAAGTCGTTGGATAATAGCGACAATCTTATCTTTCCCATTAAGGTACTTTAAACATAACCCAAGACAAATAGCCATTTCCTATTTCTACCTGTTTATCTTTATCTTTGGTAGTATCTACTGCATTTAGAATTATAGTTTATGTTGAAACGACATTATAGTGAAGGTATTAGAAGAAGTAATGATAATAAACGCATTTTGAAGCCGTCGTGGCCTAAAGGATAAGACGTCCGGTGCATTCGTATCGAGCGATGCACCGGTGTTCGAATCCCGCAGGCGGGTACCAATTTTTTTAATGAAATACGTACTTAACTCGTGTGCATGATTGACTTCCACGGTGAAGGAATAACATCGTGTAATAAAAAACAAACCCGTAAAATCACTTGTAAGTCCGCACGGGTAGTACCACTACCCTGCCTATTTCTGCCGTGAAGCAGTAATTCGTTTCGGTTTGAAGGGTGGGGCAGCCGTTGTAACTATACTGAGACCTTAGATCTCATATCTCAAGGTGGGTGGCGCATTTACGTTGTAAATGTCTATGGGCTCCAGTAACCATTTAATACCAGGTGGGCCGTGAGCTCATCCACCCACTTAAGTAATAAAAAAAACTTACTTATAACACGGTGTATTGTGAACAAAAATAAAAAAATAAAACCTAAATATTTTAATACGAATACCGCTCTATTCCAATCCTAGTCGTTCGATTTCGGATTATTTTATAGCAGACTGCATCCGGGCATCCGTCGAAAGACTTGTTTAAACTTTTAAATTTATTTATAAAACACACGCGGTCCGCGCGGGTGGGTACCAGCACCCTGCCTATTTCTGCCGTGAAGCATTAATGCGTTTCGGTTTGAAGGGTGGGGCAGCCGTTGACTATACTTGAGACCTTAGAGCTTATATCTCAAGGTGGGTGGCGCATTTATGTTGTAGATGTCTATGGGCTCCTGTAACCACTTAACACCAGGTGGGCTGTGAGCTCGTCCACCAATATAAGGAAAAAAAAACAATCTTTAGGTATGTGCTCACTACAAGCTATATCGCTTTTTCTTCCATTTTTTCCGACTACCGCCTTTTTTATTATCTCTCGTCCCCCCAATTGCTCCCACCAACAGTGTTGCCATATGGCGATCCGAAAATTGTCTAATTTTAACATGATAAATTTTATATTATACTTATTTAACAATAAATCTTACATATGAACGAATATTATTATAATAGTGATCCATTAGTAGTGGCAGCTGCGAAAACTTGGAACGACCCGTACCTTCTAAACTTCAGACAGACTATTATTATATCATACTTAGTGAGATGATAATGTCATTGCATTGCTTTGCATATTGATGATTTCTTTTATCTTACCCACGGGGCTATAAATCCACAACAATGTTAAATTAGTTAATGTATTTGTAGGCTTGAGGGTAGACATTATCTTGTTGAACACCAAGTAAAACGATGTCACTTTTGATTCCTGATTTAATCAACAATATGTTATCTTAACAATTCACTTTAACACTTGTCCAACTTTAACCAGTACGTACAACAGTCACTGAATCACACAACGCAACAAGGATATAGTAAGTGCACCAGGCAAGCGCAGTCCAACGAATGTTCATTTCAAGGCACGTTCCGCCTTTTTATACTAGCCGGCGCAGCTGGCTTATGAGTCACTTCTGTTGCAGCTGTTGTTTACGAGTGGAACGACACGGCCGGCGCGCCTGGCTTGTGTGAGTCACTCCTATTGCACGTGCTATATAACATAAATATCGTTAACGCCGTCATATTCAAAACAAAACTTTATCACTACATAGTACAAAATAAAGTCGCTTTCTCTGTCCCTATATCCCTATGTCATGTATGCTTAAATCTTTAAAACTACGCAACGGATTTTGATGCGGTTTTTTTTAATAGATAGAGTGATTGAAGAGGAAGGTTGATATGTATAATAACATCCATTAAATAGTGGAGAAATCAAAAATAAATTACAGTTTCCGAAGCGAAGCGAGAGCGGGTCGCTAGTTCATATATAAATGCTCCAGTAACCATTTAACACCAGGTGGGCTGTGAGTTCGTCAACCCATCTAAGCAATAAATAAAATAAATGGCTGGTCCTGTGCTGACTCATTTAGTAGATTCCCGCGATGCCAACTGATAATTTGATAAAATTTTACTAAACTCATCTGAAAATTTGTGTATAATATTTAAAAGGCATGCTCTTGCCAAATCTGATATTTGTGATATGCCTTGATTTCTGTTCGTCTTCAAACAGATATAAATTAATGAATTATACAAACGGTGTGATAGCATAATTTATATCGTAATAAAATTTCTATCATACTTAGTAAATTTAAGGGATTCACATTGCTGATAGAATTAGTGACTATAGTCATTTCGAATAAACCAACAACCACTCTATTAGTTTTCTGTTCCGACATTCAAAGCACGCTTGCGCGGATCGGTCATTACTCGCCGGACAATTCTATCAAATAATTGATTCAACTATTGGTAACATCACCATATTATCTTCTAGCTACACCAGAAGCTAATTTGCATTAAACGGGTTTTTGAACGATTTCCTGAATTCGAGATGAAAATCTCAATAGTATTGTGACGGCAGATGTTTCTTACTTCAAACAAGATATAGTACCTATGTATATAAAAAGTTCACGAGGTCAAGTCGAGCTTGGATTCCCTCTTGGAATACAGACCAGAGAATAACAAATACTTTCAGAGCCCAGGTGGATAAATCTTACACATTGCACATTATTAATAACCACTGTTTATTTGTCTATACCACATTCGACTAACAAAGTCATTGAGATTACACCATTATTATAATATGTATTTGCTCTTTTATACTATCTTTTCAGTTTTTCACGATTCTTAGAAATACATTATATACATTTTACTTTACTGGTGGTAGGACCTCTTGTGAGTCCGCACGGGTAGGTACCACCGCCCTGCCTATTTCCCCCGTGATTCAGTTTGCGGTTTGAAGGGTGGGACAGCCGTTGTAACTATAATTGAGACCTTAGAACTTATATCTCAAGGTGGGATGCGCATTTACGTTTGTAGATGTCTATGGACTCCAGCAACTATTTAACACCAGGTGAGCTGTGAGCTCGTCCACCCATCTAAGCAATAATAATAATAGTCGGGCAGTCGCGTATAAAAAAGTACAAAATTAATTAATCGTTTTAATTTTGTATATTACTAGGTGTACCCGTTCGCTTCGGTGGGCATTTAAAATTAACATTATTATTTCTCACCCCCACAAAGATACTCATCATTTACGCCCTCGCAACTAGTGTAGGGAGTCCAACACTCATATAAATATTAGCCTATCCATTAAGTACATGTATTCTACATGGATACCAAGTTTCAAGTCAATCGGATGCATGGTTCAGTAGTTATAACGGAACATCCGTAAAAAACACTGTAGATTTATATATTAGTATAGATTACAGTATCTGATAATTTTAAATGGTATTTTCGATTAACAAAACCGTCTTTGTTCCAGTTTAATTTCGTGGGGAAACTTCTGGGGCCCAAAGGAAACTCGTTGAAGAGACTTCAGGAAGACACAATGTGCAAGATGGCGGTGTTGGGTAGAGGATCAATGAAAGACAGACAAAAGGTATGCTGCACCACTTGGTTTTTTCTTCCGCGTAGTGTCGTTCTTGATGGGAGGGTTGAATCGCTGGGTCTGGATATCGGTATCCGCTATCCCAGGGAGACCTTGTTGGGTCAAAGCCGGTGTGAAAGGGAGAACGTCGTCATTTTCTTCTAAGGCTTTACAGATCGTCAATTCTGCGCATGTAGGGACCATAAACAGAGTTCTGGAGTTTTTGTACTTAAAGAGACAGCATGTTCAGACAGAGAACGCGGTAAAGTCATAGATTATACACTTAAGGTAAAGTCATTAATGACGTCATAACTCCTGTATGCCATCATTTGTAAATCTGGTATTCGCTTCTATAGGAGGAGGAGCTTCGTGTCTCCGGAGATCCGAAGTTCGCGCATTTATCAGACGAACTCCACGTTGAGATCAGTGCGTTCGCGACACCAGCCGAAGCCCACGCCAGGATCGCGTATGCTTTGGCCGAGCTACGAAGGTTTTTGGTACCCGTGAGTATTTAACGAACACATTTTATGAGTTTGTATTTTGAAGTGAAAACTTCTTTAGAATCGTTGTGATTTCAAACCGGATGTAACGGAAAAAACGACAGGTAAGAGACACAAATACAAAAATGTGTAGGATGAAGCCAGCAAAGAATGAGACAGAAATATACATACTATTTAATACAGCGCCATCTGTGAGATTTTTTAATACTAACGTGTGTATGAAAGCTCTTGTAGTGAATTTTAATTTAGGAAAACGTGAAATTAAAATATCAATTCACAGAGGGCGCTACCTTACAATTATTTACTAATGACAAAATTTTACATATACTTAAGACGTTTAGGATAATTTTATTTTAATTTTGGAAGGTTTCACTTCTACCACGTGTGAATTGCACACATTTTGTTTTTTTTATTATGCTTTGAGTTCGCGTGAATCGGCGCGGGCTTACAATCGTGCAAACACTAAATCAAGAATCGAGTATCGCAATTAAAACTACCACTATTGCTTCTTTTTAGTTTAATGTCGTGGTTATTGTTATTATAATATTATTTACCGACTCCTTAAACGACGATCTCTTTCTCTCCCTCTCTCCCTTTCTCTCTCTCTATCCCTCTTTCCCTTTCTCCCTCTCTCCCCCTCCCTCCTTAGTCGGTCTCTTACTAAAGGTCGTGTCTAGCTTGAAGCGTCGATCACCTGACGCACAATGCCTTTCCACGTCTTCCTTGAAGACATGGAGAGATATGGTTTGAAAAAAAGTCGAATAAGAGATATTAAAATCGTAAATGTATTTTAAGTTTCGATACATATTCTCGAAACCGAAAGAAAGATCGATACGAAATATATATCGTTACGCTCACAAAGTAATCTCTTATTGGCACGACGGAGCGAGGTCATCAAAAACTTGAAAATCAATCTCGCACGAGCGGGCCATGTATAATGAAACTATCGTAAATTCCTCCACCTGGCTCACTCGTAAATTCGAAGGGTTACGACGATACGTAATCAGTGTCTTCTGCTATCATAAATTTTCCAATTTGTATTCTATTATACGACGTACTACATGCCATGTCTAAAAGTATTATTTATGCTTGGAATAAATGAGCCCATAGACATCTACAATGTAAATGCACCACCCACCTTGAGATATAAGTTCTAAGGTCTCAAGTATAGTTACAACGGCTGCCCCACCCTTAAAACCGAAACGCATTACTGCTTCACGGCGGAAATAGACAAGTTGGTGGTACCTACCCGTGCGGACTAACAAGATGTCCTACCACCAGTAAAACCTACCACCTACCACCAGAGCATGCGTTAGATTAGTTCGATTTGGTCACTGCGTTTAAATCACATCCTGATACCTTTAACCTGTACGGTTTTCTGTATTTAATCTATACTAATATATCAACAGTGGTTTTTACGGATTTTCCCTTATAACTACTGATCCATGCATCCGATCGACTTGAAACTTGGTATCCACGTAGAAAATACATGTACTTATTGAATAGGCTAATATTTATATGAGTGTTGGACTCCGTTATAATAATGACAATAAATATTATTGTTAATTTTAAATGCCCAGCGAAGGGGGCGAGTATATAAAATCAAACATAAAAAGGATTGCTTTATCAATTTTAGGGAAATTCATTAGATTATTTTTTATTTCGCCAATCAACTATCAGACTTGGGGGAATCTTCTGAAACCTATACCTATGAATAATGCCTATTTCAATTTCAATTAATTCAATATATTCAAATTTCGTTAATTAAATATACAAGTGCATAACCCTGAAAGGTATTTTTGAAAAACAAAAGAATGAATTATTATATTTAATTCTGAAGGCATTTCGATATCAAAATACGTATTTTCAGCTGAATTTATGTTTCTAGCTCTACTCCAGGATGCTTGAAGGCGAACACAGGTGTAGTAAAGGCTTCGTCAAACAGAACGCGTACTTAGCGCTGCGTTTTAACGTCGCGTTCTTTTCATGTCACACAAATTGACTAGATGAGCCCAATGCTCCTAGACGCAACGCATTCGCCAAATCATAGTGCCTTTCGATAGCAGTGTGAAAATTTAAAAGTATTAAGATGTCGAGTGATTCAGATGTGGCATTGTACATGAGTATTTTCTAACTAATTCTATCAATTTTTCGGGCATAATCCAGTATTTTTAATACACATTCACTCGGACGCTAAAATAAAAATTGTAAAAAATTACAACGCTTGACGTCAAAACGTCCTAAAGCCCTGACAGAGCGTTGCGTACTGTTAGCGCTAGCTCTGTTTGACAGTATATTACCATAGTAGTACAATAAATCTCGGCGTCATAACGCGCCGTCAGTTTAATGCTCTGACGCGCGCTAAGTACGCGTTACGTTTGACGAAGCCTAAGATCTTCAGAAACCTATTCTTCAAATTTCCCCGTACCGCCATTTCCACTTAAAGTCAGGTCACATATATTTTTCCGAACACGCTGTTTGTTACACGCGGTCCTGAATACACAACATTAATATATTCACTATTACTCGAAGTAAAATTACGATCGAGTCTATGTGAGTTTACCGTTTGCTACAAACTCAGCGAAACTCGATCATAAAATATTATGTACGAGTATATTGTCTTAGAATTTACGCGCTACAACCAAAAGAGACTTAAATTATATTAAAAACTAGCTGACCCGACAGACTTCGTAGTGCCTCAATCGATAAATAAAAGACCTAAACTTTTGTATAAAATAAACATAAAACAAACAAAAAGAATCGGTCCGACGGAGGACACATCAAAGGAAAAACAAAATTGTTCTTTTTATTTAATTCCGAGCATTTTCATATTTATCTTACCTTTTAAACCTTCTCTGGACTTCCACAAATAATTCAAGACCACAATTAGCCAAATCGGTCCAGCCGTTCTCGAGTTTTAGCGAGACTAACGAACAGCAATTCATTTTTATTTTTATATACGTGAAGCAAAAACTTTGTATCCCATTTTAAGAAAATTGCGCGGACGGAGGAGTATGAAATTTTCCACACTTATAGAGAATATAGAGAAGAAGTGCACAATGCTAATATTTTTTTAAATAATGCATAAAAGATAAATTAAATCAATAAAGAAAACATTACACACACTACATACCATGTATTTGACGCACACACGCATGCATACTATTTATTGTCAAACTTTTGTTCTTGACGTCTGTTGTCAAATTGAGAATAGATTAAATATTGTTTGTCTTTATTAATCTTTTTTTATAGTGTAGTCTTGGCGAAATTTGTGATTATAGAAGTATAAAATACAATCCTAATAGTGTACAAACTTACAATTCCAATTAATTATAGTCGAATTTCGACTACTGCGGGACCTGTAGTATGTATAGAGATATGAATAGTTTCACAACGAACTAGTCGAAATTAAATTCGATACTAAACGTATGCGAAGACGACATGAAATTTTTTAATTAAAACATTAAAAAAACATGAGATCAAATGGTAACCCAGCTGACTAATAAGGCTAGTAAACGTGAGATTGGTATAGTGAACACAATATCTTTGGAAGTCATCGTGGCCTAAAGGATAAGACGTCCGGTGCATTCGTATCGAGCGATGCACCGGTGTTCGAATCCCGCAGGCGGGTACCAATTTTTCTAATGAAATACGTACTCAACAAATGTTCACGATTGACTTCCACGGTGAAGGAATAACATCGTGTAATAAAAATCAAACCCGCAAAATTATAATTTGCGTAATTACCGGTGGTAGGACCTCTTGTGAGTCTATTTCTGCCGTGAAGCAGTAATGCGTTTCGGTTTAAAGGGTGTGGCAGCCGTTGTAACTATACTTGAGACCTTAGAACTTATATCTCAAGGTGGATGGCACATTTACGTCGTAGATGTCGTGATGGGCTCTAGTAACTAGCCGTTGTACTGTAAAAACTGATACTTGGAACTCATGTCTCAAAGTGGATGGTGGAATTTACATTGTTGATATCTGTGGACTGCAATAAGGACTTAACACCAGGTGGGCTGTGAGCTAGTTCACTTATCTTAGCTATAAATAAATAAAACGGTTGAAAAATCTTTTCTTTGCTTAGAGCTATCGCGTGTATCGTCCTCTTAAAGCGGAGGTCAAAAGGGGAACGGTAACCACTCATCAACACAAGGGTCTTAAGATCCACTGCCGAAAGCGGCATAAACCTAGTGCAATTCTAAAAACCGAGCACAAGAAATATCCACTACCTAAAATAATAATGTCCTCGAAATTAATTAATTGCCTACGCACTAACAGGGCTGTCAAAAACTATTAGTGAGAAAGTTGTTTTTTTTATACATTGAAAAAAAATGTGTGGGTTCGTGGGACACCGGATAGGGACGAAGTTCCTTATTATAAAAATATTAATTTTAAGTTCTATTCGAGGTATAAAGAAAATAAAACTGGAGGTTTCGCAACAACCCACGGTCATTCGGTAACGTGCGAGCTTATTGTGGTACACTTCATTCAGGTTTGTTCGCATAAGAGTTAGTGTATTGCGCAAACGAACGCTCTGAGATCGTGGTCAATGAATAATAAAAACATATGTTATTTTTTATACGTTATTACAAAGTTAAGTAATTGTGTGCATTACTAATAAAAATCTTACGTTACGGACGTTTTTTCCCGGTTAGGGTACTCCTCCGCATCGTCCAAGGAACTTCGTTCCAAAAAAACAACAAAAAATACGTTGAAAATTCTATTAAAACGCTTTTCTTCGTATAACCCTAAATTGTTATTGCTTCTTTTTGGAATTCAGAGGATTTTCATATTAGTTCGTCTTTGATGGCAGCATCCTTATTTTCGTTTCCAAATTTTATCCGGCCACTAATTGCTGTCCTTACGTAAATGATCCGGGGCCTTTTAAATGAAGCTGACTCAACCCTACGAGTACCCATAAAATATGACAAAGAGCATTACTAACGGTACAATTTATGATCTGGAATAATTTTATTTGACATCGCCATAGATTATTTCAACGGAATATAAATGATCGGAATAGATTTTGGGAAAGTGATTCGTACTTTTGAATTTACGCGATATTAATTTAATTAAAGTTATTAGTATGAAATGGAAACGGAATTAAACCTTTACAAATTATGATTTGCGTAATAACAATAAACAATTAAGACACAGATCTCGAGGGACAAGGAGAGGAAAAACATTGAGGTTGTAACATCTATGACTTCGCATAAGTTATAACGACAATTAACTTTTGGTTCTCGAGCTTGGAGACAGAAGATCGCATATATCTATCAAACCTATAATTTGATCTTGAATTATTTGTAGAAGTCCAAAGAAGGTTTAAAAGGTAGATAAATATGAAAATGCTCGGAATTAAATAAAAATAACAATTTTGTTTTTACTTTGATGTGTCCCCGAATTTGTCGGATTCCTTTTGTTTGTTTTAAGTTTATTTTATACAAAAGTTTAGGTCTTTTATTTATCGATTGAGGCACTACGAAGTCTGCCGGGTCAGCTAGTTTCTATGATAATAATTATATACCATTGGTAGCCTAGGGGTTATTCCAACTCCACCGGTAGGAGCGCACGGGCTCAACTTGAGAGAATTGTGAATACTAGCCCTAGCAAGAGCAGTGCTTCGCTGAATCTACTACCGAATCACGTCATCGCCTCAACGTCATGCTACAATTTACCCTTATTTACGACTCTAAATACTTCTTTGTAAAAATGAAATAAACAAGTGATTCAACAAACACTAAAAGTACTTTTAATCTTGAAGAAACGACAGAAACACGTAGATGTTTGCGACAAGTCGCTTCCATAATTCAAAACTTTATCTTGACTCCTCAAGTGGATATTACCTAGTCTGATTTATGCATTTGTTTTTTTTAAACTGTTAAAACTAACTAGAGGTCCCCCAGTAGTCGAAATTCAATTATAATTGGAATTGTAAGTTTGTACACTATTATGATTGTATTTTATACTTCTATAATCACAAATTTCGCCAAGGCTACACTATAAAAAAATATTAATAAAGACAAACAATATTTAATCTATTCTCAATTTGACCACAGACGTCAAAAACAAAAGTTTGACAATAAATAGTATGCGTGCGTGTGTGCGTCAAATACATGGTATGTAGTGTGTGTAATGTTTTCTTTATTGATTTAATGTACCTTTTATGCATTATTTAAAAGAAATATTAGCATTGTGCTTCTCTATATTCTCTATAAGTGTGGGAAATTTCAAACTTCTCCGTCCGCGCAATTTTCGTAAAAAGGATACAAAGTTTTTGGTTCACGTATTAATATATAGATAAATGGAAAGATCAAAATTGTTTAATTAGATTAACTACGAAAATTGCATATTGTTCGTGCTACATATTTAGAGATCGCTTGCAGATAATTAATTCTAGCAGTAGGCAGCGGCTTGGCTCTGCTCCTGGCATTGCTGAAGTCCATGGGCGACGGTAACCACTTACCATCAGGTGGGCCGTACGCTCGTCTGCCTACAAAGGCAATAAAAAAAAAAAAAAAAAAAAAAAACCTAATAGGTTGGGGAAAAAGTCTTTTCGCATTATAGTAAATAGTAATAAGTATGTATGAGCTTGTAATAAAATCTCTTTGGCTATACTATTTGTATCTGGCTGGTTTCATTGTCGCGTTATTGTGATCAGAAGCCCCAAAATTTCTATAGCAATGGGATCATGTCCCTACCTACAAGATGGCAAAAAGCTATCTAACAAAATGGTACCTACATACTTTAGTTAAATGAAATTAAACTGTATTAAAAAATGTTATGAATTTTCTTAAAAAATGCGAAGAAACTTTTTCCCCCGACCTATTATAAAGTTGTCTCACAATGCTGGCCATGTAAAACATAATTTATGTATCGCTGGCAATAAATTCTAAATTACAATTGAGAATTTTATTATTTTAAAAATATCGATATTTATCTTCAAATTAACTAATTTGTTTATCAATTTGTATTTTTGTTTTCATTACATTTGTATCTTTTTCATCAATATGGACGCCATGAAAATAGTAGTAATTATGGAACAAGAGTTCCTATGCGGTAACAGTACCGGACAAACTACACACAACATTTTTTTTTTATTATTGCTTAGATGGGTGGACGAGCTCACAGCCCACCTGATATTAAGTGGTTACTGGAGCCCATAGTCATCTACAACGTTAATGCGCCACACACCTTGAGATATAGTTCTAAGGTCTCAGTATAGCTGCCCCACCCTTCAAACCGAAACGCATTACTGCTTCACGGCAGAAATAGGCGGGGTGGTGGTACCTACCCGTGCGGACTCACAAGAGGTCCTACCACCAGTAATTACGCAAATCATAATTTTGCGGGTTTGATTTTTATTACACGATGTTATTCCTTCACCGTGGAAGTCAATCGTGAACATGTGTTAAGTACGTATTTCATTAGAAAAATTGGTACCCGCTTGCGGGATTGGAACATCGGTGCATCGCTAGATCCGACTGCACCGGACGTCTTATCCTTTAGGCCACGACTACTTCATTAATGACGTGTGCGAAGTGAACACTACACATGAACGCAGGACTTGTTAATACATCGATATTTTCATTGGTGTAGTCTAATTGAGGTATCGACTTATGTCTAAAGCTTAGTGGCTGCACGTACTCTATAATTTACTGGTGGTAGGACCTCTTGTGGGTACCACCACCCTGCCTATTTCTGCCGTGAAGCAGTAATGCGTTTCGGTTTGAAGGGTAGGGCAGCCGTTGTAACTATACTTGAGACCTTACAACTTATATCTCAAGATGGGTGGCGCATTTACGTTGTGGATGTCTATGGGCTCCAGTAACCACTTAATACCAGGTGGACTGTGATCACGTCCACCCATCAAAGCAATAAAAAAAAAAAACGAAAACTCTTATAAGCCAGAGTCATGAGCTGGTACACTCATTGAAATCTAAATGGCGCGATTGGTTTGCATCGCATATCAACATACGATTTCGTCATTTTAAATTTACTACAGATAAGAAACGTATGCCCAAGTCTTTAGGAAATTAAATCTTCATCCATCCCGTTGAATAATCCATTTTATTTCCCGAATTACGTGAAACAGATCGAGAAAGGTTCGATCACGTATCGGGGGGTTCTATTCCGCGGACGTATTGCCCGGGCTCCAGATTAAATTCTTGTCGGAATCAAATTGACACATTAGGCCACTTGCGTTCTTCGGGACTGGTAAATGGGCTATTACACCCACGTTTAAAGAGAAGCTATTAGGTGCTATCGCTAAAACGAATGTAATTGAATAAATTATTTCGTACTCGGGTTTTTGCAGTCTTAAAAAACGTCATACGAGGTTTGGTGTTTTCGTATAGTGGTGTGTAAGTCTTACAGGCATTCTTCTAATGAAAAGCCAAAGAAAGGGAAAAGAGAATGACAAAAAAAATCAAGATGGCGAAGACTGTCGAATAAGCAAGGCGTAAAAGGTGTTAATTAATTTTTAATAATTACTAGCTGAAACGCCAGACTTCGTAGTGCCTCAATCGATAAATAAAAGACCGAAGGTGACACATCAGAGGAAAAACAAAATTGTTATTTTTATTTAATTCCGAGCATTTTCATATTTATCTACCTTTTAAACCTTCTCTGGACTTCCACAAATAATTCAAGACTAAAATTAACCAAATCGCTCCAGTCGTTCTCGAGTTTTAGCGAGACTAACGAACAGCAATTCATTTTTGTATATAGAGGTAAAGATAATAAAGAGGATTTTGGAAAGGAACAATTAAAGTCCATAAGCGAAGTAGCGGCATAAGCGACATGATCCCAAGTCTACAGGAATGTAACGCTACATGCATGAAAAATTTACTCGCAATAATTTTAATTTCGTTAAGCCCATAACCATATAGAAACCATAACCATACTGAATCCACAGCAATTCAAAATTACTAAATTCTCTTTCAATTTCAGGACTACAATGACGATATACGACAAGAGCAAATGCTGGAGATGCAGATCTTGTCCTCACAGAATGACCAGAGGCATCTCACTCCACCAAACTCTTCCAGGAGCGGCAGCGAGGAAACCCTGCCTCTGAGAGACACTGGCAACAAGCCTAGGGTAATAATCAAAATCGTCATACAGTACTACGGGTCATCTTTTTTATTTATTGCTTAGACGGATGGACGAGCTCACAGCCCACCTGGTGTTAAGTGTTTACTGGAGTCCATAGTAATCGCAATGTAAATGCGCTACCCACCTTGAGATATAGGTTCTAGGGTCTCAAGTATAGTTACAACGGCTGCCCCACCCTTCAAACCGAAACGCATTACTGCTTCACGGCAGAAATAAGCGGGGTGGTGGTACCCACCCGTGCGGACTCACAAGAGGTCCCACCCCCAGTAATTACGCAAATCATAATTTTGCGGGTTTCATTTTTATTACACGATGTTATTCCTTCACCGTGGAAATCAATTTCAAACAACAATAGCCAAATAGTACGACTTGTCTTCATGTCATATCTCAAGATTAGTGCTGATATTCTCATTGTGATGTTGAAAGGTTCCAGTAACCTCGTATACAACCAGGATTCGCCATGATCTCGGTTGCACATACGACAAATGAAATCTACACTTTAATATCTCCTACTGCTCTGACTTCTGCAATAACCGATTTACTATTTAAACATCTCCAAATCCTTCTATTCATTCTGGGAATTATATCAATGGAAACTGACGGTAGGACCTCCTGTGAGTCCGTGCGGGTAGGTACCACCGCCTTGCCTATTTCTGCCGTGTAGCAGTAATGCGTTTCGGTTTGAAGGGTGGGGCAGCCGTTGTAACTATACTGAGATCTTAGAACTTAAATCTCAAGGTGGGTGGCGCATTTATGTTGTAGGTGTCAATGGGCTCCAGTAACCACTGGGCTGTGAGCTCGTCCACCCAACTAAGCAATAAAAAAAATAAAAAAGCCGAAGGTACAAATATATTAACACCTCAGAAATTAAGTAATGTCATATGATTAACAGCTGCCTACAGTTCAGCCGTCACCGGCTCCGACGGCCATGCCCAGCGCCATCGCAGTCAGCCACGCGCCCACCAGCCGCGACTTCTCCCCTCCAGCTCCCACACCGGCTCCTGAACATCTGGCTGCTCATCACCAGGTAAAACCTGAGCATCACTATATTCGCAAGACTTCGTGATATCTCTGTTCACGATTCTATTGGGACTTACATAGCTTTTGTATGGTTGAGATTATGCTGAGATACAGTTTAGATTCTTTGTTAATGTACACTTTGGTTATTTTTGTGTCTTATTATTATAAAATGCTAAATATACGCTAAATATGTATTACATGTTTTTTGTTATTGCTTAGAAGGGTGGACGAGCTCACAGTCCACCTGGTATTAATTGGTTACTGGAGCCCATAGACATTTACAACGTAAATGCGCCACTGACCTTGAGATATGAGTTCTAAGGTCTCAGTATAGTTGCAACGGCTGCCCCACCCTTCAAACCGAAACGCATTACTGCTTCACGGCAGAGATGGGCAGGGTGGTGCTACCCACCCGCGTGGACTCACAAGAGTTCCTACCACCAGTAATTACGCAAATTATAATTTTATTATCTTATTATTAGAAAACGCTTAGGGACGCTACATACTACATGACTAATAGAAGTTACTAAATCTTACGAGCATCGGAATGACAATTATTCCACTCTTGGAAATTTTAAGATATTAACCTAAGAAATCATGGCTTAGCACGATTTTGGATTGCTTTAATGGACAGAGGAACTTAGGGCCTGTGGTTTTATGAGATACGCGACTAAGCACAATTGCCGCAGTCCATAGACTATACCCAGTGTACCCAAGTTGTCTACAGAATTCTATCACCCAACGCTAAAGGGCGTTTGGGAAAAACGAAAGAAAAGGAAGGGTAAGCTTGATGCAAAATGTCCTTAATAGTCTAAATGTTAGGCGGCTGGTTCGTTTAGTCCTTCAAGAGGAGATACCTTAAAATAATGCCGTCCTAACCCTTCAAAAGGTAAAGCATCTCTTTCAGCATATAATGTGATCTAAAAAAATCTCTGTACCTTTAGTATTTTAGTTTAATCTATCCTAAATTCTTATGCAACTGAAGTCAAAGATGATGCAAGAATAAATCATCTAGATCAATAGGTATTCAGTTTTGTAATAACCTGTTGATCAACAGTTGGCGGCCGGGCACACTGGTCACGGGATGCTGGTCGGCGGAGGCATGATACAGCAGCCCCCTCATCATTTGATCACCCAAAATTCTATACTCGGTGAGTAACGTAGAGCTTAAGATGAAATTAAACCTCAAATCGAGAGGTGAAAGGGTATTTGGGGGTCATTTTTGCAACTTAACAAATTTAATGTTTGAAATTTGGAAAAGATCCTCCTCCTTAAGTCGATCGCTCATTGCCGAGCATCGTGACGATATCATTACTATACAAAGATATCATGACAAACTTAGTTGAAGTTCTTTTTTTTTTTTTTATACAATCACGCCATGTTAACTAGTCCCGTGATAAGTTCGTAAAGAACTTGTGTTACATGTACCAGATAACGGAAATAAATATAATATTTTTATTATACACATACGTATATTTAATATACACCCATAACCCTGGAAAGACATTTATATTTCTCATACAAATATCTTCCCTTGGCGGGATTCGAACCCGCGACCCCCTTGTGTAGTGACCATGTCACTTACCACTACACCAGACAGCCGTTGTTCAATTCAAGTCAGTTCAATTAAAAGCATTGAATCGTTGATCCTAATCTAGACATATAAATAAAATTGGAGTGTCTGTTTGTAATATTGAATAGCCTCTTTTTACTACATGCATATGAATATATATACGGCACATACACCAAAATAACATTTTTTACAATTTTTGTCTGTCTGTCTGTTTGTTCCGGCTAATCTCTGGAACGGCTGTACCGATTTTGACGAGACTTTCACTGATAGGTAGCTGATGATATAAGGAGTAACTTAGGCTACTTTTTTTAGTCTAGCTTCACCCCGCGGCGTCACTCACGGTACGACAATAACCGCGGGTAGCATCGCGGGACTCAACTATCAATAATAAAATTTAATGTTTCCGAAGCGAAGCGAGGGCGGGTCGCTAGTACCAAATAAAACCCACCTTTAATTACAAAGATAAATGTCGCGTTTTAACCAAAATGTTGCTTAAACTAAATAACCTTTAACCGGTCGAAATAAAACCGATTATATGGTTAAAACTTTGTGAAACATTACACATTCTTGGTAAATCACTGAATACAATCAATGTAGTGTCAACGTATGACGTCATATGTGGCTAATCGTTGTATTTCGAGTGAGATGGTTGTATTATAAACGTAATAAAGCACTTAGTCGCGGTTACTATAGCTTGGTTGGCAATTTGAACAATACCAGCCAATTCCGATTTTACCAGACATGAAACAATTAGGAATTTTAGGTTTGAATTCACTTTTTTGAAGTTGTTTCTGATTGACTCGGTGGTGCAGTAGTTAGCAGGCTAGACTATTGCGCCGAGGGTCGTGGGTTCGATTCCCACACCGGGCAAACATTGTGTAATGTACAAATATGTTTACTCTTCCCGTGGGTGTTAGAATACATCTGGTACCCGTAAGGGAATCCTAAATTGGGGCCGGATGACCGTGCGTGAATTTGTTCCCAGTTATTATTGTTATTAGTTCTTATTATTACAGTGAAGGCGGCTATCGAAAAACAAAGAAGTCTCCCATTACGGACACAACTCTGCTTATTTAGAAAATAAAAAGCTATTTGCATACACATTGTGTCAACAGTGTCGCCTAACGGCAGATGTTTTAGACCAAACTTCTGTCACTTACATTACGGCTCGTTTCGAATGTGGAACTAAACAAATACACTTAACAATGAACATCGTAGGGTTGGCACTTTCGAGATATTTGAAATGTTTAATTTATTGCTGTCGTCGAGCAGAAAATGTGTTCAAATGAAATAAAGGAGAGTGTGCACGTTGCTCTACTGGTCTGCTTCGATGAGCCCAGCACCAGATAAGCCATGAGCTTGGGCTGCAAACGTACAGCATTCAAAAAGTCCTTCATTCATCAGACTTTTTTATTATTGTTGCTTAGATGGGTGGACGAGCTCACAGTCCATAAGTGGCTACCGGAGCCCATAGACATCTACAACGTAAATACCGCTACCTGCCTTGAAATATGAGTTCTAAGGTCGCAGTTTTAATAGTACAACGGCTGCCTCACCCTTCAAACCGAAACGCACTACTGCCTCACGGCAGAAATAGGTAGGGGCAGAAATAGAATTCACGAAACATGAAATTCTTATAATTTTGTGCGAAAGCCTGTAGTAGCCCTCACATTTACTCAAGGCTATGGACATTCCGCGTCAACTGGCCAGTTCTAATAGTAAAATTCAAATTTTTTTAATTCGGGCCAGCGATCACTTAATCTGAAATGGCTACCAGAAGTCATACACGTAAATGCCCTCATCCACATTAAAACATGAGTTCCAAGTATCAGTTCTACGATACAATAGCTGCTCCACCTTTCTAACTGCCTACTGCTTCGCGCCAGAAATAGATGGCGTGGTGGTGGTACCTACCCGTACTCACGAGGTGCCCTAATTACTACCAATAAACAATAAAACAAAATAAAACAAGACGAATTTTCAATTGTGAAATTTTATCATCTATTATTTCTATGTGAAAAGCATTTCGTGTTATCAGTAAATGTCGTCCCTTAAAAGACTTTCAAGGGATCAAACCTCATGAGTTTTGTGCTGTGTCAAACTCTTACAATCATAATTGTCGTCGTGATAATAATGTTAGTGCTCTGTTGGTACCAGCGAACCCATCTGCATTAGTAAAAACAAAAAATTCGCAATTAAAACCTTTTTTACAGTTTTACCTTGCATTTTTGTTTATTAATCATTAAATTAAAATTAAATTAAATCATTTTCGACGTTTCTGATCACAAACGACTGACTTTACACTAGAAAGTAAAACTTGTTTTAATTATGTCCACGCCTCAAGAAAATAATATATCATATTTTTTTCTATAATTGATATGTGGCAACCCTAGTTACGCGGAAGCAAGCACACTAACGACCTCAGACTAAGCTCCCTAACAAGTAAGCTTAAGTTGTGGCGCAGACTTAGCAAAGCATAAACCATTAAAGAGGAAAGCTCTGTCTTAAGTAACAGCGATCTTTCACCTTCCGCTCAATAAATTCGCTATGCTCATGAAGGGACCACAAATGTCCCCATAGCAACTAACAATTATATTGCAATGATGCTACGCCGGTCTCGGGATTGTCGGGCGGTCGATAGCACGATCACGTCGGGGTCACCAATGTTGAGTCTCTATATCGGGCAAGGATTAATAAGACACGTATTCAGTTAAATGACTAACGTATATTACAACCAAACGTGCTATCGACAGCCCGACAATTCTACCTGGAGCCACTGCGGTTATCCACAGTGCGTTTCCAGAGATCTTTTTAGCCATCCGGCTATGGAATGAGCTCCCCTCCACGGTGTTTCCCGAGCGCTATGACATGTTCTTCTTCAAACGCGGCTTGTGGAGAGTATTAAGCGGTAGGCAGCGGCTTGGCTCTGCCCCTGGCGTTGCTGAAGTCCATGGGCGACGGTAACCACTCACCATTAGGTGGGCCGTATGCTCGTCTGCTTACAAGGGCAATAAAAAAAAAGTAATAATAATGATAGTAATTTACACTATTTAGATGAAGAAAACAAATAAAGTTTCCTACTAATTATTGTCTAGCTTACATTAGCTAGTCTACTATTTCCTCTTCGTTAAACATTTCTAAAAGAAAACTTTCTCTAACAGACGTAGTTTTTTCTCGTGCATTTAGAGTGCTTATTTTGATCAATAGGGATGGTGAAGTGACATTGTGTGAGCGAACTTCGAACTAGCGATTCCAGAATTGAGACAGTTCATTTAAACAATATGTTTTTCTATTTCACCCCGATATCTAATACCAATAACCCATATACTTACCATAACCCACGTTCTATCTTGTTATTCCCTTCCCACAAAACCAATTTCTATTCTCACTCCTTTACTGTGCACGCGGTCAGACTGTGGAATTCGCTGCCGGCTGACATCCGAGTTTGCAAGAGTCTGTTTCTGTTTTTAAATACAAGGTCAAACAATTCTATCTCTCATTAACCGAATGATCATTGTTCTATACGCTTCGTATATACTGTGCTACGTATAATATTTTGTATTCAAGTTTAACAATATTGTTGTATTATGTGTATGTGCATTACTATAATTCTCATGTTGTATTTGTTATTTTAGTTATGTGTTATTTGTTCTACACACACTCATCACTTTTAATTATTATTCTCATAATCCTCTCGCAGGTTTTTTTTTTTTTTTTTTTTTTTTTTTTTTTTTTTNGGACGAGCTCACAGCCCACCTGATGTTAAGTGGTTACTGGAGCCCATAGACATCTACAACGTAGACGCGCCACCCACCTTGAGATACAAGTTCTAAAGTCTCAGTATAGTTACAACGGCTACCCCACCCTTCAAACCGAAACGCATTACTGCTTCACGGCAGAAATAAGCAGGGCGGTGGTACCTATCCGCGCGGACTCACAAGAGGTCCTACCACCAGTAAGGAAGAGATTTCTTAAAGAAATAAGCAGTGCCTTTGTACATAATTTTCCTATTACTCTGTACTATGTCTTCTTTTCTGTGTGTACATAAATAAATAAATAAAAATAACTAAATAATAAAAATACTTAACAGTCTTCTCCCCATGATTCTATACCGAAAACGCTTGCCGTAAACACAGCCAACACCCCATACTAACAACATGCCACATAAATCTACGCTAAGCAACTTTTGTGACTTAATTTTGTTACGTCCCAAACAAATCCTATATCAGATTAACCACCATCGAAAATATCCTCGAAGTCCTTGTGGCCTTAAAGTACATTTTAAATGCACACTCACAGATGCTAACGATCCTTTAAGTTCAGCCCACTGGAATTGCTTGAATGAATTTTGGGTCTGTTTCTGCGAGTCTTCTCTTTTAAAAAGATGGTTTTAAAGATTACCTGGCGGTTTCCTAAATTACTAACAGACTAACATGCGACCCAGGTACAGGCGACATCCTGGGCTTGAGCAGTCCCGTGCTTGGTGGAGTGCTACACGCGCACCCAGCACTGCGTGGGGTGAAGCCTGCAGCAGTCCACGCTCTGGCGACGCAAGGTCGGTACGTCATTCTGTTCAGACCCCGATTTACAAAGCAAGCACCAAAGTCCAATCCCACAGATCGTGGGCCACGACGTTTCATCATCATAATCGGTTGCTCATCGCAGAGCAGTCGTAGTCATGTGGAATTCTTGCTTATTAAAGCCTTGACAGATGCTTTCCGTAGTTTGCGAACTGATCCTTGGCGCACACACTCGTTAAGTGGGGTTTCAGTAAGGTCTTTCACCTGATCACTCCAACGCATAGTAACACCCAAATAACTAACTCAGCACATGCGATAACTGATGACATGTGAGACGGCTGTGGACTCTTATCTCAAAGAACATAACTGCTGCTCGATTGACGTATGCATTATAAGAGATCGATCCGGCGGTAGATTCTGCGAAGCACTGCTCTTGTTAGGGCTAGTGTTAGCAACGTCGTCAAGTTAGAGCCCCGTGAGCTCCCCTGCTCGTTCTGTGAATCTAATGTAACCCCTCAAAATTACCAATAAATGTGGTTCAATATTACTATTCTAAAGTCTTCTACGATTAAGCACGTTCCGTTAACATTACCTTGCTTGCCTACGGTCAAGTCTTGTGTGTTGACAAGGGTCTTCGCAGACCATGTTTTTGTTAGCAATAAACCCTAACATCTTAACTAAATTGGGGCGTAACTTGATTACTATCTCAAACAGAAATTAGCAAACAGTCCCGCAGTCACCGTTGAGAGAGGAATATGTTTATTTGATCACTATTCAAGAATATTCGGTTGTTTCCCAAATACGAATATCAAAGGCATTAAAGCTGGTTTCCGAGATTTTCTTTCCAAACCTTAGATCTGAAGATAGTAATAAATTCAGTTCTGAACCGCAACAGTAGGCGTCCTTTTTCGACTCCAAACAATTCTTCTATCTATTACCCTAATTCATGAACCTCCGGTGCACACCTTAAATACCCATGACAACAGCATTCTCATTGTGGTTTCCATGGGCTCTAGAAACCGATTAAAAATGTTTCGCACCGCACGCCGTTTTACTGGTGGTAGGACCTCTTGTGAGTCCGCACGGGTAGGTACCACCACCCCGCCTATTTCTGCCGTGAAGCAGTAATGCGTTTCGATTTGAAGGGTGGGGCAGCCGTTGTAACTATACTGAGATCTTAGAACTTATATCTCAAGGTGGGTGGCGCATTTACGTTGTAGATGTTCATGGGCTCCAGTGACCACTTAACACCAGGTGGGCTATGAGCTCGTCCACCCATCTAAGCTATAAAAAAAAAAACGCAATACACAACACATTCCACGCAATGTACAACAGAATGACGCGGAAATTTAACAAATTTGATTTTAGTATCAAAAATGAATCACGTAAATGAATTGAATGTCTTAATCTCGGATTTATTATCTCAATTTTATTTATCTATTTATCTTCTTTCTCTATTTATAAAAATGAATTGCTGTTCGTTAGTCTCGCTAAAACTCGAGAACGGCTGGACCGATTTGGCTAATTTTGGTCTTGAATTATTCGTGGAAGTCCAGGGAAGGTTTAAACGGTGAGAAAATATAAAAAAGCTCGGAACGAATATCAAAACAAACAATTTTGTTTTTCCTTTGATGTGTCCCCTTGATGTGTCTTTTATTTATCGATTGAGGCACTACGAAGTCTGCCGGGTCAGCTAGTATTAAATATAAATTAGCTTCTCTCCTCTTAATATGTCGAAATCGTGCCTCTTGAATTGCGACAGTATTTCTGAATATGTACGTTCTTTCCTGAATCCGCGTCGCCAAACATCCGAAAATTTGTACTGCTTGACGGATTCAGGAGAATATAACCTAGATTTTTGTGTAACAAATAATACAACAACAATAAATACCGAACACAATGAATGACTGAAGACGCCTAACCAATAATCGCTGACCTTTTTTTTTTTTTTTTATTGCTTAGATGGACGGACGAGCTCACAGCCCACCTGGTGTTAAGTGGTTACTGGAGCCCATAGACATCTACGAACCTGACCTAGCAGTAGGCAGCGGCTTGGCTCTGCTCCTGGCATTGCTGAAGTCCATGGGCGACGGTAACCACTTCCCATCAGGTGGGCCGTACGCTCGTCTGCCTACAAAGGCAATAAAAAGAAAAAAACAAAAAAAAAAAAACTAAAAATTCAGAGGTTCGACCCACCGTACTTTTTAGAAAAACACGGTATTCTTCAAACCGCAAAATAATTGAAACCGATCAAGTGACAGAAAACTTTTGACCGTAAATAAATTCAGTGCGGAAAACACTAATTGGAAACCGCTTCAAACGATACCAATTTCAGCGTAATCCGCGAAATGAAGCTAGAAAATAATGCGGCTGGTACAAGTCACGGGAAGTGGCGATAAATATTTTTAGGGTCTTTTTTTTTAAATCCATTTTATAAATATAATAACGGCTAACCTAAAACTAATATGAAATTTTATTAAATTTATTTAGAATATTAAAAGCATAGACTATACTATTCACGGTGAGGGAATAACGTCGCTTAATAAAAAATCAAACCCGCAAAATTATAATCCAATATTTATTCCATGAAGCAGTAATGCGTTTCGGTTTGAAGGGTGGGGCAGCCGTTGTAACTATACTGAGAGCTTAGAACTCATAACTCAAGGTGGGTGGCGGCATTTAAGTTGTAAATGTCTATGGGCTCCAGTAACTATTTAAAAAAGTATGACCCCTCGAGGTCACTAGAATAGGTAGGAAAAAAATAAGATAAATATGTATTTTCTTTAAAGCACTGATAATAATCAAAAGAGCACCTGCTTTCTCCAAGAACTGTAATTCGTAACATGCCCACAATATCCACAGTACGTGCTAGTACAAACTATTTGTAACCGAAGGCTACATCCACGTAGCTACGTCGTAAAACGTGCTCAGAATTCGGAAAATAAAAATATATTTTTTAATATAAAAGAAAAACTGCACCTTAAGGTGCGTAGTTTTCAAAAGAGATTCAAAGTTTATTATACTTTGTAAGATAAGTTTTTAAGTAGATGAGCTCATGGGGCTCAAGCCTGACGACGTTGCTAACACTAACTCTAGCAATACCAGTGCTTCGTAGAATCTACCACCGGATCGGAAACGCGACCCTCTGAGAAGATTCGGCGAGAAACTCAGTGGGCTGTGTCTGTGGGTTAAATTACGGATAACTACCACTATCCAGCTTATTTCTACCGCGGAGCAGTAATGTTAGTTTGAAGGGTTGAGACAGCCCTTCCACGATACAATTAGCACTTCGACCTCTTAAGTCAAATGACGTCATGCATTCAATTATAGGATAATGCCTTAAAATACTATCTTATATTACAACTGACTTACATTAACAATTTTCTTTCTTGATATGGGTCATTATTACTTCATCGATCGAGGTGCCGTCTAATTGAGAATTCAGATATCCGCTACCCGCTCTCCGCCCTTAAATTAAAGTTCACTTCGCGTGGCCTCTTAAGGCGGTACTAAATTTGAGTTTTTATCGAAGTAATCGAAATCTTACAGATCAAACGAAAATTAATTGGTCTAAGTGTCACAACTTTATTGAGAAAATATATGTCAGTCGGATTGAGAGACTTTATTTTCGGACCAGAACGGCTGATTGGTTCGGGACTAATATAAGTTATGTACCTGACCCTTATGTACGTAAGGACTACCACCAGTGTCAAGACTATGAGGAATGGATCTTCCGATGTATAGAAAACGTGGAAATTTTCATGAAAAGCATGCGTGTTCGAAACACGTCAACTAGTTGTTTAGGGAAGAGGTATTTATGATTTCCTGCTACAAACATAAGATTTTTTATTTATTGCTCCGCTGGGTGGACGAGCTCGCAGCCCACCTGGTGTTAAATGGTTACTGGAACCCGTAGATATCTACAGCGTAAATGCGCCACCCACCTTGAGATATAAGTTCTAAGGTCTCAAGTATAGATATAACGGCTGCCCCACCCTTCAAACCGAAACGCATTACTGCTTCACGGCAGAAGTAGGCAGAGTGGTGGTACCTACCCGTGTGGACTTACAAGAGGTCCTACCACCAGTAATTACGCAAATTAAAATTTTGCGGGTTTGATTTTTTTAGTAAATGATGTTATTCCATAACCGTGAGTAGTAGAGTTTAGATTATTAATATTCTAAATAAATTTAATAAACTTTCATATTAGTTTTAGGTTAGCCGTTATTATATTTATGAAGAAGTTTAAAAACATAGACCCTAAAAAAAATTAGGTAAAGATCTTCCAGCGTGGTGTCTTTGCTCGGGCCCAATTTTACTTTATTAATTTTTTTTTGTGCAATTGTGTTTTTTTTGTGCAACGACCTATCGGATATCCCACCGGGTATCCCGCCGGGTTTTGTGTGAGCATTAAAGGTCATAAAAATCAGAATGAGCTGAGGTCGAAGAATCAGCTATCTTACCCAATTGGTAGCCTAAGCGTACCTATTCCAAATAAGCACGGACTGGAAGGACTAACACTAGACCTAGTGAGAGCAGTGCTTCACGGAATCTACCACCTGACCAAAACTGAGGCCTGATCGAAACTGATAAGACCCGGCGGGAAATTCAAGGGGTTGTGTTTATCGACTAGGTTGCACGTCGCACTCTTCATTCGACGAGAATGGTGACCGGTGCTTGCAGCGCCTAAAAGCACGGAGAGTGAATCGCGAAGATCTGATAGGACATTGCTTCGGACGACGGCGCCTTTGCGTTTCCCTATCGCCTAGGATGGGTGTGTTATTAGAAGTGGCGATAAGACGGTTATCGTGCCGCGCCGCTTTTTCAAAGAAACGTTCTGACGCTGTCTTCAATTCTGAGATCTTATACCTTTAAACGAGCAATTCTTATATATATATAATCTGAATCTCGGAAACGGCTCCAACGATTTTCATAAAATTTAGTATACAGGGGATTTCGGGGGCGATAAATCGATCTAGCTACGATTTATTTTCAGAAAATGTTGTTTTCTTCATGTTTTCAATAATCAACTCCTCCCGACATCTATTGGAGAATAATAATACTATTTTTCTTAATTGAGGGCAACTAATAAAGATGGCGTAATCAAAAAAAAAAAAACGAGCAAAGCTCGGACATTATCTAGTAAATAGTAACACATTGCTATCCTTTCTCGACTCTTATTTGCATTTCAATGCAAAACTTGAAATAGCCATTAGTTTTATTTGCAGCAGAGCTTCATTCTGTTTTCTAGACCGAACTTATAAGCAAAACAAATAGTAATTACAGAATACCACGTAACATTTTCACGGAAACCCCTTTTGATATGGATCACAAAAAAAACCTCAAAGGAGTTACAAAGTATATTAACTGTTTTGATCCACATTAGGGTTCTTTGATATTGAAAGGGATCGCGGAATTCGAAGAAGTGTGTTTTATCGAAAGAAAAAAAATGTATTTCGCATTTATTTTAGTTTTCCATGGCCAATCGGTAATACGCTACTCACTCGATATGATGCGACTGTAACGGAATTAATCTTAGAATAGGTTTTTTGAACTTCTTTAGGCGCATGAGGGTAAAATTTTTACATATCGACGCTTGAAAGGCAAACGTGACTAAGCGACAATGCGTGAACTTTACAGTAGACTAATTTAATGTTGAAATTAATTTAAAATATACTTGAGAAATACCTGAAAAAATTCTATATTAACGAATCTAGCTGCAGGATTGAAAAGATTTGAATAGACCTAGAAATATATATTTTTTGCGCATCGAATATGGTTATTGCCTATCATTTATGTACAAAGCAGTTATTGTCGCTTAGTCAAGTTTGCCTTTCAAGCGTCGATATGTAACGTCACGCAGGTATGCATCGGAAGTGTCGAAAATTTTTAATACAGCGCTATCTATGAGATTTTTAATACTAACGTGCGTATGAAACCTCTTGTAGTGAATTTCAATTTAGGATTACACGTGACGTTAAAATATCGATTCACAGAGGGCGCTACCTCATACTATAAAAGATGATTTACAATTATTTACTAATGACAAAATTTTACTAATAATATACTTAGACATTTAGGATAGTTGTATTTTAATTTTTGAAGGTTTCACTTCTAACACGTGTGAATTGCACACATGTTTGAATCACATCATTGAATTTCTTGATGCGTCTCTTACCCATCAAACGAAGACTCGTGGCTACTTACTACTCGGTCGATTTATTAAAATATAATAGCAAATTTAATCAAATCTAAACTTGATTATACCACAAATATGATTCATCATGGTAGTAATTTTGCGCGTGTTAAAAAATTGGCAGCTATTGCCTCATCTCTAGAGCTTTTAACGAGTGTCGTTGTTAGCTGAGAAGATGGGCTCACGGCCCAGCTGATAATGAGTTCTCATCTCAGCCCATTGTCATCAAAATGTATGCCGCCGCCCACCTTTTTTTATTACCTGGTTACTGGAACCCATAGACATCTACAACGTAAATGCCACCACCCACCTTGAGATATGAGTTCTAAGGTCTCAGTATAGTTACAACGGCTGCCCGGCCCTTCAAATCGAAACGCAGTACTGCTTCATGGCAGAATAGGCGGGGTGGTGGTACCTACCCGTGCGGACTCACAATACGTCCTACCACCAGTAACAAAGAGAACCACCTCGAGACGTGTGGTCGTAGTCCGAACTTATATAGCGTTTTACGTTTAATAACAAATTCACGGACTAATTTAGTACTAACAAACATATGGCAATTAAGACGTGGTGTGTACTAGGTGCGGGTGGGTCGGCGGGTACCAGCACGGCACGCAAGCGTCCCCTGCTGGGCGGAGCGCGGGCCGCAATGTCTCCGACTAAACGGGCCGTGATGACCCTGCTCGCGAGGGCTAGGGCTGCCACGCACAAGCACGCAACCACATGGCCTGCGCCACACGAGTAAGTACACAAGACACAATACCGTGATCACTAACAGACGCGCGCGCTGAATTGTACTGCACTTTAAAAACCTTAGAACTCATATCTCTAGGTACTTAGAATCAGGTGTACTGTGAGCTCATCCAAACACCTACAAACGGTTGAGAGACACGAGACAGTCTTTGCACTGTTAATCGTGACTTAGGGTCAATTTATACCGGCGCAGAGTCGAAGCGTCTATCCAAAACTGAATATAACAAATTCAACCTTAACTCCACAGCGCAACGCACACATTACTAGCGAACCTGCGCGTCATCATTCGGAAATTGGCCTTTTGGCTTTATAATTCCGCTTTCTTTTTCTTCTTTCTTCGTTTTCTTCTTCATCAACTTCCGATTTATGTAATATCATAGTCGAAAATTTGCCTTTTGGCTTTATAATTCCGCTTTCTTTTTCTTTTTTCTTCGCTTTCTTCTTCTTCAACTTCCGATATAAGTAATATCATAATGGAAATTGGCCTTTTGGCTTTGTAATTCCGCTTTCTTTTTCTTCTTTCTTCGCTTTCTTCTTCTTCAATTTCCGATATAAGTAATATCAGAAAACGGAAATTTTCCTTTTGGCTTTATAATTCCTCTTTCTTTTGCTTCTTTCTTCGCTTTCTTCTTCTTCAATTTCCGATATAAGTAATATCATAGCAAGATCAATTTCAACCATTTTACACACACTACGAGAGTCAGCTGGCAAGTGATTCAATAGCACTGCTGTTGATGCCCATTACTACACGCTTCGATGCGCTTGGACTCTGCGCTAATATAAATTGATCCTTAAACCGCATACCTCAAAGTGTATTATGGTGTTTACGTTGTGAAGTATACGAGCTCCGCTAACTACTTAATACCAGGTAGACTGTTTGCTCAGTGATTTAAGAGAATAGTAAAAAGCTTTTTTACTTCAAATGTATAATGAGAAATAATCGTCATATCCAGCCGAGCAAACATTCGTGTGATGATCAGGATTCTTTGCTCTTTGTCTGTATCTAATACTACCTTTTACCCGCGCCATCGTCCGCGTGGAATAGTTCACAAGTAATGCTTTATTTTAGAACAAGGTCAGCATAAAAAACGTTATAGTGAGCTAACCTTAACATATAGACATATGCTGTCGCGGACTTTTTTTTAAATCTTTTAAAGGGAAACAATTCTGTCATACATTATTTTAGCGAAACTTTAACCGTTTCTGTAACACACGCAGCGGAAGCTCTCAAAAGGGAAAAATCCCAATTTTGGAACATTCCTTATTGGTGCTCTTATCTTAGCGTGATGTTAGTCTATAGCCTTCCTCGATAAATGGGCTATCTAACACTGAAAGAATTTTTCAAATCGACCCAGTAGTTCCTGAGATTAGCGCGTTCAAACAAACAAACTCTTCAGCTTTATAATATTAGTATAGATCTATAAAGGTATCTGTTTAAGCGCATTCAAGTATGTAGGTCAGTTTCTAATTTCTTATAGTAGAGGAAATCCAAGTTTGGGGCTAGTTGATCGTGTTTTACTAGTCCATGATCATTACGCTGTTATATACGTATATAATAAATAATAATAAATAAATAAATATTTACTAACAATCACGCCACGTTAAACTGGTCCCGTGATAAGTTCGTAAAGAACTTGTGTTACAGGTACCAGATAACGGAAATAAATGTAAGATTTTTATTATACACATACATATATTTAATATACATCCATAACCCTGGAAAAGACACTTATATTTATCATACAAATATCTTCTCTTGGCGGGATTCGAACCCGCGACCCCCTTGTGTAGTGACCATGTCACTTACCACTACACCAGACGGCCGTATATAACACCACTCACTTTTTTTCATCTACTTAATCGATGATAGCCTAACGGGCTATTGTAGCTACGCTCATAGGGATGGAGAACTCGCGGGCTCAACCTCAGAGAATTAAAAATCACTTATCACAAAATATCCCATTAATATAAATTTTCTAAATTATATATTGGTTAATTATATACTGTTAAATTAAACTACATACTGGTTAAATTATATACTGGTGGTAGGACCTCTTGTGAGTCCGCACGGGTAGGTACCACCACCCTGCTTATTTCAGCCGTGAAGTAGTAATGCGTTTCAGTTTGAAGGGCGGGGCAGTCGTTATAACTATACTGAGACCTTGGAACTTATATCTCAAAGTGGCTGACGCACTCACGTTGTAGGTGTCTATGGGCTCGAATAACCACTTAACACCAGGTGGGCTGTGAGCTCGTCCACCCATATAAGCAATAAAAAAATAATAGCGATATATAAAAAAAGAAATCTTATAACCTCAACCGAAGACTTTAAAACAGACCACTGAAAGACCACTGTTTCTCGCGGGATCTTCTCAGTGGGTCGCGTTTCTGATCCGGTGGTAGATTCTACGAAGCACTGCTCTTGCTAGGGTTACTGTTACGCTGGGTTACGCTGGCATAACCCATAGATTACCAACTTAGGTAGGAAAAAAAACGCAATGGGAATTCGTTCGACTGCGCTTGCCCTATGCACTAGCCTATGCCCTTGCCACGCTGTGTGAATAAGCTATTGTTGTACAATTGTACATACAGCTTAAATGCTGAGCAAGTGTTAAAGTAGATTATATTATCGTATTATTGATTAGATCAGGAATCAAAGAGTGCATTCGCTTAGTTTACAACAAGACAATGACGCGGATCCTATACGTAGGTACATTTATCTTGCTACGCCGGTAAGAGTAACGCCACCTATCGCCGAATAGTCGAACGAATATCGAAGGATCTAGTAGTATCTAGAACGCTCGAGAAGTACAACGCCATCTATTGTCAGATAGCGGAAACACGCAATGCTAGAATTTTGTGGAATATTCTCGGCGATTCTAGGGATTTCGTCTCGACTGTAAAAAGCGTTGCAGAGATGGCACGCAGTCAGTCAGTAATCAGAACTACTCGAAGCGAAACAGCGACGGATCACCTGAAGCGAAACAGAAGAAGCGAATCGAGAGTTTTAAAGTGTTTGTTGTGTTTTAAGTGTTGTCAATGTTGAATATAGTGTTAACTTGTAATTCAGTAGAAAATTGATTTATCCCGAACCCCAGCGCGTAACAATACGAAGCCAATAAAAGCATGGTAACAATAAACGCCAGATCAAACCGTAAAAGTACTTTTATTTATTAACACGACTCGTGCAACCCGAAGAGAATATATTATGTGTGTATTTTGATACAACACGACCAGAATCTGTCGGCGATAGCTCCCGCCATCGCCCGCTGTTTGCAGTTTCATCAAAGCTTCCGATGTTTGGCGACCAAACAGTGTTGGTCGCATTACGTGATTGAGCTTTCACCGTGTAGCTTTATGGAGCTTACTCGAAAGCCTTCGCTTACGTTATTCACGTTAAATGTTGGCATTTACTTTAGCCACCGATACGCTCGAAAGAAATAGTGTCATATAGTTCATATCTATATATTAATACGTGAAGCAAAAACTTTGTATCCCTTTTTACGAAAATTGCGCGGACGGAGGAGCATGAAATTTTCCACACTTATAGAGAATATAGAGAAGAAGTGCACAATGCTAATATTTTTTTTAAATGATGCATAAAAAATACATTAAATCAATAAATAAAACATTACACACACTACAGACCATGTATTTGACGCACACACGCATGCATACTATTTATTGTCAAACTTTTGTTCTTGACGTATGTTGTCAAATTGAGATTAAATATTGTTTGTCTTTGTTAATATTTTTTATAGAGTAACTTTGGCGAAATTTGTGATTATAGAAGTATAAAATACAATCATAATAGTGTACAAACTTACAATTCCAATTAATTATAGTCGAATTTCGACTACTGCGGGTCCTCTAGTCTCTATAATATGCTATTTAAAAATCTCAAAAAAAACAAAAAGATATAATATAGGTACTTGTACATACTTTTGATATATCTGACGTGATTTTTCAGTTTTTAATTTATGTTAATAACGATATATTCTTTTAAATTTATATTGCCGTTTTTATTTTTTTTATTGCTTAGATGGGTGAAAGAGCTCACGGCCCACCTGGTGTTAACTGGAGCCCATAGACATCTACAACATAAATACTGCCACTCACCTTGAGACATGAGTTGTAAGGCCTCACTTTTACAATACAACAGCTGTCCTGCCCTTCAAACCGAAACGCATTACTGCTTCACGGCAGAAATAGGTAGGGCGGTGGTACCTACCCTTGCGGACTCACAAGACGTCCTACCACCAGTAAATAATGATCTGCATGTGTATACTTCAGTATTTTTTTTTTTATTCATTCTAGATCGATACGGATTTGCATAATGACGTCATCATTCAAATGAGATATAATCTGTATACCAACACTCGCGTTGCGGGAAAGGGACAAAACGTCACCACCTAATTCACACTAAAATCAATTTATGCGTCTACCTCTATTTTCAATTGTCAGTGACTACTTCATTTCTTCGATTCACTAACGAAGTCCGTATTTCTGTTAAAGATATTTGGTGCTCACAGTATGTACCTGTTTTTTAATTGATTATATGGGTGAACGAGCTCACGGCCCGCCTGGTGTTAAGTGATTACCGAAGCCCATAGACACCTACGACGAAGATGCCGCCACCTACTTCGAGATATAAGTTCTAAAGTCTCAGTTCTTACAGTACAACGGCTGCCCCACATTTCGAACCGAAACGCATTACTGCTTCACGGCAGAAATAGGCAGGGTGGTGGTACCTACCCTTACGAACTCACAAGGCGTCCTACCACCAGTTCTATTTAGTACATTGTCTGTTACACATACAAGTCGTCATCCTTCGAACTGTTGATTGTATTTTTTTCCACCTAAGCTGAGAGCCTTGAGAGGCTATTTCACCGTAACCTTAACTAGTAGGTGAGCTCACGGGGCTCAATCCTGACGACGTTGCTAACACGAACCCTAGCAAAAGCCGTGCTTCGCAGAATCTACCACCAGATCGGAATCGCGACCCACTGAGAAGATGCGGCGAGAAACTCAGTGGGCTGTGTCTGTGGGTTGTTGATTGTAGATTGCTTAACAGCCAACCGCCGTTCCGGATTCTAAGGACTACTCATATCATTTTTATCCGCTTGAGAGGTGAAAGGATATTTAGTTTAAGCCACATTTTGGCAAATTTACAGGAGAGCCATTTAACGTTAAAAATTTTGAAAAAATATTATAACAAAAAAGAAACTTATTTGCCTATTTTAATTGAGTTAAACTTAAGAGGTGTAGACAGACAACTTGGAACGTCTGATGGTCACTGGAAAAGTAGAAGGAAAACGTCCTAGAGGTCGGAGTCCCAAACGTTGGTCCGACCAGATCTCCGAGCAAACCAGCGGACCACTTAGCGCTGCACTACACCAGGCAACTGACCGGAACCGATGGAGGCAGTCGACAAGCTGAAACGGAGTCACGATTCTCAGCATTGAGGGAGCGATGGAGAAGAAGAAGAAGAAACTTAATTAAAGTTGAATTAAAAACATCGGACTGTTGATTTTAATACCAAATAAGACGCATCTTTCATTGCAAAGATAAATGTTGTGTATTAAATGAAATGTTGCTCAAACCAAATATAAACTTTCAAGCCTCGATATGTTTAATGTTAAATTTATGCGCATATATCTCAAAACTATATTGAAGTTAAGATGGTGGTAGCTGGTAGGACCTCTTGTGAGCTTACTGGTGATAGGACCTCTTGTGAGCTTACTGGCGGTAGAACCGCTTGTGAGCTTACTGGTGGTAGGACCTCTTGTGAGTGCGCATGGGTAGGTACCAACGCCCTGCCTATTTCTGCCGTGAAGCAGTAAAGGGTTTCGGTTTGAAGGGTGGGGCAGCCGTTGTAACTATACTGAAACCTTAGAACTTATCTCAAGGCGGGTGGCGCATTTATGTTCTAGATGTCTATGTGCTCCGGTAACCACTTAACACCAGGTGGGCTGTGAGCTCGTCCAACCATCTCAACAATAAAAAAAGATAAATCAGAACATTTAATGATTGATATATTTTTTTACAGGCACACGGCTTTACTACCATTGATAAGGGACGACTTCGTCGCTGGCGTTGGTGTCAACATTAATTTAGCGTAACTCAATGTCTAGTCAAACTGTAACCCTAACTAATGCAACATTAGATCTTTTTTGCAATGAATGTCTCGGAGATATTTTCCAATTGTTATTTTTTTTGGTTAAAAGAAAATTTTGTTTGACCAATTGACCTTTAAGAAAGGGGTGTTTCAATCGGCAAGGACTCTGACATTCTTTAGTTTAGCTAAAGAATGATGTCGTGGCGTGCAACCTCTTTGACAGGACATAAGACCGACAATGACTAGACATAGACACAGACTAAGACAGAGATTTGAAAAGAATTCGAAAAGAAATGGAACTAGGGCGTACGTGACCGGCGGCACGGCAGCACATTATTTGACGTCCTTAAAGAAAGACGCAAAAAGACGAAAAAGAACGAATTGACCGTTCTAATATAAGACGGCAATAGAACAAACGACCGTTCAACTGACCTTCGACCGTTCAACGGACCTTCAACCGTTCAAGTGATCCTTCGACCGTTCAAGTTTTTTTTTTATTTTTTTTTTATTGCTTACATGTGTGGACGAGCTCACAGCCCACCTGGTGTTAAGTGGTTACTGGAGCCCATGGACATCTACAACGTAAATGCGCCACCCACCTTGAGACATAAGTTCTAAGATCTCAGTATAGTTACAACGGCTGTCTCACCCTTCAAACCGAAACGCATTACTGCTTCACGGCAGAAATAGGCAGGGCGGTGGTACCCACCCGCGCGGACTCATAAGAGGTCACTTCAATCGGCAAGGTCTGACATCCCTTATTTTAGCTAAAGGGTAAGTTGTGGGTAGGTACTATAGCAAGCAGCATCTTTCAGCAGCCTTTTCTTCTACCCCCAAAACTGTCGCATTGATCGATCGATTATTAAAAGTTAATTTATCGCCTAACAATTTGATGTTTTATCAGAATGGGTGTTTCGAAGTTTTTTTTTTTTAATATAAATAATTGTAACCAGACTAGTTTATGGTCTACCCGATATTTAATGCTGTGGAAGACGTGAATATCACGGGCCACTTTAAGACATGACAGCTTAATGGTGTTGTAGGGATTACATATGTTCCCATATTATCTGCTTTCGCCTATATGTCATTTTACGGTTCGTATTACTCATTTGGTTTATCATTAAAGACATTCATTGTAAATAAGATATTTTTCTATCTAGTCAAAACAAACAAAAAATGTACATCGATTTTTTTTGTGTAAATTGTAATGAATAAATTAGCTAAATTGTCATCAATTATTGCTGATAGTTTTATTTTCATGTCTTAGATTTTTTTATGTAGATTATGTTTTTACTATTATAATAATATATTACGATGATTTGATAATATTGTGAACCAAGCGTCGGATTTTACCTCCAGCTGACGCCATTCATAAAAAAAAATTGTAATCATATATAATAAAGTAAACAATAATAAACATCACATGGAGATCCTATTATATTATAATTACATCATCTTTTTTTTCCAAATTACAAGTACTTAATCTAACTTAAAATTTTAGTACATTCAAATCCAAACCTGAAAGTTTAAAATTATTATAGTAATTATCCAGTAAATTAAACCCTTTATTACTGAAATATTACGCATGTACTTCATTTGTAAAAATGCTCATAAAATCAATTTAAAATTAATTAACATAAAGCTGACTTTGGTTTGAATGTTTACTTACATAACACCAAATTTTAGCGTAACGTGTAATCAAATCTTGTGTGTGTTAACTGTGATTACTTATTACAATTTGCGCAAAATTACGTATTATATTAAGAAACGCATTACTAATTAGTACCTGTTTTGTTTAAAATCCTTATAGTAAGTAATTTTAAGTATGTAGATAATGTAATTTCTTTTGTCTACAAAATATAGGCCTTCATTTTAATTGAAATTGATGTAATAAAAATAAAAATAAAATTAAAAAAATATGTAGGTAGTCATTTGAAAATATATTTTATAGTGTTTATTTCTCGAAGTTTTTTTTTTTGTATATCCACCGTCTGGGGCGATCTCACACGTGCGTAAAGCCCAAGAGTTGAGAAGCGAAAAAAGTTTTGGGGACAAACCGTTATTTAGTTTCAAAAAAGGAATACAAATTTGCTCCGTTTCAAATTAAAATTAAATTTGTTTTAAATAATACAATACAATTTCTAAATCATAATTGCAAATAAATAAAATAAAGCATAATGTAGAAGTTCTTCCCTGTCGTAGATATTTTCATAAATTAATTAATTAAATTTCGATGTGTATATTGTTTTGATCTAAAATTAATAAATTACAAAAAAAAGTTACAATATAATTGTAATAGTAATTTTAAATGAAATTAAAAAAAAAACAACGAAGTTAAACTTAAAGTTTTTTCATTTATTTTATGGGATTTTTTCGTTGGTGTCAGCAAAGTTTAATATTTCTAAAACATAAATTGTACACATAACAAGCGAGATATGGAGCTGCAATAATCAAAATTATTTGATACTACATAATATGAAGCATGTTCATGCATGTTCATAGCTAATGTGGCGTCCAATTCGGATTGTAATGGCATGGGCGGGCAGGCCATACTGATCATTTCTGACGCTTTAAACATTTGTCAGCATTACCTACCAACAGCATGAAATGTTCCCTGTTTTTATGTACTCGTTTACAATTACGAAATAATACAATTAAATAAAATTTGCCGTAAATACATTTACTGGTGGTAGGACGTCTTGTGAGTCCACCCGGTTAGGGACCACCGCCCTGCCTATTTCTGGGCCTATTGGAGGGTGGGGCAACTACACTGCCGTTGTAACTACACTGAGACCTTAAAACTTATATCTCAAGGTAGGTGGCGGCATTTGCGTTCTAGATGTCTATGGGCTCCGGTAACCACTTAACATCAGGTGGGCCATGAGCTCGTCCACCCAGCTATGCAATAAAAAAATAAAATAAAAAAATACACAATCACTTTACCGTGAGACTCTACAAGTCATCAAATACTACATATGCTAACCTCATTAAGACAGAAAAAACATTGTCCATGTCGGTCGCTCGTGTGAGATAGCCTTAAGATGTAATTGGACCATGGTGTTACTATCCTATGCCTTTTTAGGGAAGATATATATATATAATATTAATATGTATAATTAATAAATAGGAAATATCTATTATATATAAATAAAATCTAGTATCTGATAATTTTAGTGTATGATAATTCATACACAATACTCGACACGTCTAAACGATATAGAAAATTCGAATCCTAATGTTTTTTTTGTTTAAAATATATATAAAAGAAAAACATTAAAATTGATAGGTACCCGGTAATTGATGGATTTGTTTCGTTTTCAATTTTTTTGGATCGGGAATTAATTGTGTTTTAAAAGTAAAACAGCTTAAATTCCCTATCGTGTATTTAAAATAGTTTACAATAATTAAATGTATCAACAAATTCATTAGAACAATATACCTATAGACGCTTATATTTATGAAAAAAAAAAAACACTCACTGTATCAATCCTAAACAGTTATTGCACTTTTTATAGAGTATAACATGAAATGTATTATTAAATATTAATCAGAAGTGTAACATTCAAAACGAATTAACCAGTTAAATGGTCATTTCGCATGGATAACGCCCATGCAAGTAATCATGTTACCAAAGGATCAAAGGATTGACTTTATCAACGCCATATCAGATTAAAAGCGCTTGTCTAGTAGTGAAAACTAATTAAAATACAAGAAGCAAAAAACCTGTTGTCTGATTAAATATCCTTGTTTTATCTCGCCTACGTTTTTAATCGTTTTGAATGGCTACACCTTACAACCGTAACCCGGATAATTAATTAATTAAATTTTAATCACAAGCAAAATAAAATAAAATAGCTATAAATTTATTAAATATTAAGATTTTTAAAATTAACTCTTTAAATTTTAGAACTAAATAACAAACTTTCTAAATGTTAAAAAAAAAACTTTAATATACATATATTATGTAAATCGAAATAAATGTCTGTATGTGTATTCTAATCGTGAAAGAAATACAATAAATACACGAGTTAATATGAAAAAGTCGTTTAAATATAACCAGTTATATTCCTCTTTAATAGATTCATTATAATAGAAAAAAAATCTACCGTAAAACTTAACGGTAGGCAGCGGCTTGGCTCTGCCCCTGGCATTGCTGAAGTCCATGAGCGACGGTAACCACTCACCATCAGGTGGGCCGTATGCTCGTCTGCCTACAAGGGCAATAAAAAAAAAATTACTACATTCTAGCTTGATCATACAACAAGTAGCATGATCATTTCGCAAGGATAACGCCCATGCGAGTGTTCGTTTCCAGTCAAGAAATTTCAAGAATAACATTAATCTATAAAAACGAATCGACAATTTAAAATACTTATAACATTAAAATTGATCTTTAATTCTTATATAATAATTATTAAAATTTCGAAAATATAAAATTGCTTATGACCTATTTGTGCTTTGCTATTTGTGTAATACAGAATTATGAAGTCAACTAACTAGACATAGTTCAGAAACACCAATTGTTACATGATATATTTATCTATATATTAATACGTGAAGCAAAAACTTTGTATCCCTTTTTACGACATTTGCGCGGACGGAGGAGTATGAAATTTTCCACACTTATAGAGAATATAGAGAAGAAGTACACAATGCTAATATTTTTTAAAAATAATGCAAAAAAGACACATTAAATCAATAAAGAAAACATTACACACACTACATACCATGTATTTGAAGCACACACGCATGCATACTATTTATTGTCAAACATTTGTTCTTGACGTCTGTGGTCAAATTGAGAATAGATTAAATATTGTTTTTGTCTTTATTAATTTTTTTTTATAGAGTAGCCTTGGCGAAATATGTGATTATAGAAGTATAAAATACAATCGTAATAGTGTACAAACTTACAATTCCAATTAATTATAGTCGAATTTCGACTACTGCGGGACCTCTATTTATAATAAACACATAATTGATACATATTGTCGTGTCATAAAAACCTTTTTTACTTTTTAGATGGGTGCTCGTCCACCCGGCCCGCTTGGTGTTAAGTAGTTCCTGGAGGCCATAGACATCCACAACGTAAATGTTGCCATGCTTTAGCTTAGAAACTAAAGAAACATTTTTAGCAAATCTTATTAACAATGAATTTCGTAGTTTTTGTTCTTCTGTTCGTACAGATTTGGTTATTGAAGTGTGCGATTCGTTATTTACCACATTAGCGGGTAAGTTACAATCAAAAATTTATTCAAACACACTAATTTACAAAAACTAATAATGCTCTGAACGTACGCAGGCAAAGAGGGTATTAATAGTATACAGCATATGAGGTATTATTTACTGGTGGTAGGACCTGTTGTGAGTCCGCGCGAGTAGGTACCACCGCCCTGCCTATTTCTGCCGTGAAGCAGTAAAGCGTTTCGGTTTGAAGGGTGGAGCAGCTGTTGTAACTATACT